TATATATATGAAAGAACCAATCGGCTGACATTGGGCACTGATGTATCAACATTACACAAGCTATTGATAGTGCATATTTGTGTGTTGCCTTTTCGCTCATTTGCTAACATTGTCCATCGATGTGATAATACACAGGTACAACACACTGGCCTTTGCATTGCCCGTCTGCTGCTGCGCCGTCATTGCCATAGCAACGAAGATGAAAGCCCATACTCCCACATTTCTTAATAGGGACCAGAGTGACGAGTGGAAGGTATGGTGTGGTATCGGTATTAATTCATTATTAATTTCAATGAAGAAGTGTAAATTGTATCTATCATTCGTGGTAGATGGGTCCTTTTCATGTGTAGTCGCATGTGTACTCGTCGGAATTGCATGTAGCTCATACGGTTACTCGCACCTGTGGATATATTTTTACTTGGCCATAGACATTCACCGATGCTAACTCTAAAACCCTAAAACCCTAAAACCTAAAACTGAAAAATGCTAAACTCTAAGTAATCTGGTCTTCTGCTGTGTGTACCGCTGTGGTTCTTCACCGCCGTTCATATCTACATACAGAGCAAAACATACAGAGAAGCACATATATACTCTAAACCCGACCATTCGTGGTTGCCATGCACTTAACAAAGTATTAGACGGAGTGTGGTGCTCTAGACATGCGTCGAGGATATAGTCCTGCGCAGTCTGCGGGCTGTATTCAATTGATACCATCTTGTCGCACTGTAGAGGTGTAGTAGTATTTCGGTACTTTTCTTGCCTGCCTGTCTGCAATCAGCCATACAGTCATGAGGGTTGACTCACCTCTCTATATTTAACTTATACATATACTGGTACTTATAATCACTTACAGGGCTGGATGCAGTTGATGTTCCTGATCTACCACTACACCTGGGCAAGTGCGGTACTGCCCATCTACGTGATAATTCGCATCTTCGTGGGCTCGTACGTTTGGCTGAGTGGGTACGGCCACTTTTTCTTCTTTTATAAGAAGAGCAATTTCGGGTTGAACAGAATGGCCCAGGTGAGTGTTAGTCAGCTGGTTTATGATATCCATACTCTATATATATCAACGATATATATATATATATATATGTATATATATATACCACGCAAACACACACACAGCCACACACAAACACATACGCACACACAAACACACACACATGCACACACACACACACACACACACACACACACACACACACACACCACACACACACACACACACACACACAC